GAGCTGGCTTTATTTTTTTTTTTAAATTATTTATTTATTTTTGACTGCACTGTAGCATGCGGGATCTTAGTTCCCCGACCAGGGATCGAACCTGTGTACCCTGCAGTGGAAGTGCGCAGTCCTAACCGCTGGACAACCATGGAATTCCCAAGAACTGACTTGTATCTTAACCTCTTTCTTCTGCTCCAATTGTGAATGTGAGACCCAGAGTGTTGACAGTCCTCAGGGACAGCGAGGGTAGAGGTTAGAGATTCTGCCCATGACAGAGCCTTTGAACCAGCTGTCTACCTCCAGACTAAGTAATTAAGAAAAATAAGCCTTTCTTTGTTTACAAGGAGCCTAGCTCCTTGTAGTTGGGTTTTCTGTTTATTGTTGAGCAGTGCTTTTGTATGTGTGTTTATTTTTGAGAGATGCCATCACCCGTTGAATGTGTGCATGCATTGCTCAGGGCCTGCCATGTTCTCGGCCCCCGAAATGACTGTCAGTTGGTTGAAGAACCTGCCCTAGCTCCCTGCATTAGGCTTCTTCTGGTTGCAGGTGACAGCCAAAGGGCACTTACTGACTGAAGTACCCAAGAAAACTAGGGGTTGAGCTGGGTCCAGTGGAGTAGCATCCCCTACATCTGTCCCTTGGTCTCTCCCAGTTCCGCTTCTCTGTGGGTTGGCATCTTTCCCAGGTGGCCACTCTACCTGATAGGGGAAATGGACCCAGGAAGTGCCAGATTTACACGACAGTTATAGTTCCTACTTCTAGAACGGCAGTTGGCAAACTTCTTTAAGGGATCAGATAGTAAGTATTTTAGGCTTTGTGGGCCATAAGTTTCTGTAGCAACGTCCCAGCTCTGCCTTTGTAGCAGGAAAGCAGCCACAGGTGACTTGTAAACAAATGGACGTGACTGTGTTCCAGTAAAACTTTATTTACAGGGCTTCCCTGGTGGCACAGTGGTTAAGAATCTGCCTGGCAATGCAGGGGACACGGGTTCTAGCCCTGGTCCGGGAAGATCCCACGTGCCACAGAGCAACTAAGCCCGTGCGCCACAACGACTGAGCCTGCGCTCTAGAGCCCGCGAGCCACAACTGCTGAGCCTGTGTGCCACACAGCTGAAGCCCGCGTGCCTAGAGCCCGTGCTCCACAACAAGAGAAGCCACCACCATGAGAAGCCCCCACTCGCCCCAACTAGAGAAAGGCCGTGCAGCAACGAAGACCCAACACAGCCAAAAATAAATTTAAAAAAACACAAAAACTTTATTTACAAAAAGAGGGGTGGGGTTGCTGAATTTGGCCCTTGGGCCTTTGTTTGCTGACTTCAGTTCTGGAGGCAGACAAGGCTTCTCTTCTAGCATTTCAGGCAGAAGTTGTGGGGAGGGCCCCATGGTCCAGGGTGAGGCCAGTGAAGCACTCACTTCAGCCACAGAATTTAAGGGAACACCAAAAGCTCAGCAATCAAGATAAATAATATTTTCATGCAATATTTAAAAAAAATCAAAGTTAATACAGAAAAAAATCCATCACGCAAAGGTCACGCAAAAGTCCCACAAAATATCAAACAGGACCAGGATGAGGGGGTGCTGAGTGAGGCAAGTTGAGGCGCCCGCCCTGCTGTGGCCAGGTGGTTGACCAGCTTGGGTTACCTGCCCACCCCTGTGGGAGGGAGAGTTTGGTAGTGCTAAAAGCAACTTCACAGGGAACCAAATGGAACACGGTTCCCCTAGGAAAGAGGGGTGCAGCTGCCAGAAGAAAGGGAAAGGGATGCCGTTTGCCTGCCTTGGCTCTAAGCACTTCATATCATGCTTTATTGTCTCATTTTTTTTTCCCTCTTAGCAAACCTCAAGGGCAGGTAGTTCTCCCCATTTTACAGATGAGGAAAATGAAGGACAAACTATGTTGCCGAAGGTCACGCAATGCCTGAAGTAGAATTCGCGCCAGGGGTTTTGCCCTCAAAGTATGCATTCTTGAATTCTTGGCATCGATTAAAGTTGAGGCCTGTTAGAAGCTTTGCCAAAGGCCCCGTGCTTTCATCATCCTCTGTCAGCAGGTGCCCCTAGGTAGCTCACCTCAGCGCCCCTTTCTTGGCTCTTGTTCTTGTCGGCAGATGGCTTTAAGGAGTTGGGGGAACCAGAAGCCCTCACCCACTTTTGGAATCAGCCTCCGGTTTAAAGCAACAAGAGATAAGTGTATATTCCCAAATTAAATTATGGACACTGCAAGTTTTAAGTGGCAGGTGAGCTGTGCTTTAAGTAGACCACATTAATTCTGGCAGTGGAAGCGGAGCCCTGCTGGGATAATAATGATTGTCAGCAGCATCACCCAGGCAGGCTTTAGAAGGATTCTGTATCGGTAAGCAATTTGCGAAATTGAAAGGTGAAAACACACTTTGAGGTGTTTCATGTGTACTCAGGGTCAGAGGGAAGTGACTGCAGTTTTCAGGAAAGACAATGCAGGTGAGAGTCACTTGATTGGAATCGTGATGGATGTACTGGTGGTTGTCTGGTGGGTTACAAAACAAGTTTTTGGCTGGTCAGCTGGCTGGCCCGGAGTGGTACTTTTACCAAATTTTAAGAGAGGCTTCCAGTAGAAAGAAGGCTGTTTGCACTTGTGCGGTTTGGGCTGATCTAATGGGTTTCGGAAGGGGATTAGTTTGGCTTTTAGGGATTGAGACAGAAGGTATTCTGAGTAAACTGCCCTGCTGGTGGTTTTACCAGTCGTTCCTGAGATGTTTATTCTAAATGATCTCAGAGGTTGACTTGATACACAGATGCATACACACACTCATAAGTACATACACATTTAGATGCTGTTAGCAGAAAAAGGAAAAGAGGAAACAACATGAATGCTCTTGGATAAAAAGATAATTATTTAGCAAACAGTGGTTGGTCATCATGCGCTGGACGTCATGCTCAGTGTTCTACCCCCCTTTTCTCCAGTTACCCCAGTAACCCTAGGTGATTCTGCACTTTGGGGCTTACTTTAAGGGTGAGGAGTCTGAAGCTTAGCATGGTTGAGGGGACCTGCCCAGGGTCCTTCCGCTGAAGACCTCCTCACCTGTTGTCCTGCCTGCTAGACTGGAAGCTTGTTAGGAACGAGTCCTTCTTGTCTACCTGGCGGCCCATAGCCTTGCCCAGCTTGTGGCTACTGGGAAGAATACAGTCTGTGCTACTTGAGCCGAACTGCAATCTTAGAGTGAGCTTATTAACTTGCTGTCCAGTTTATGGAGATGTGTGTATTCACATCCTTCTGGAAGGAAGCTTCAAAGCTCTTGTCACCTTCTCAGAGGGGTCTGAGCCTATTTAGCTCCTGGATTAGAATCCCCGTCTAGCAGCAGAGACTCAGCAGTTTCCCCCTCGGGATATCGAGCAGTTGTGAACATGATCCTTTTCAAGGAGGCAGAGCACCCCTCACTTTGCAAGGCAGTGTGATGAAGTGGTTTGCAGGGAGACAGCTCTGAGGTCCCTTTCTGCTGTACCACTTATAACCGTGTGTCACTGGACCAGTTACTTCACTTGTCTGGGCCTCAGCCTTGTCTTTGACATGGAGATGGCCTTGGTGGTTGTGAGGACTGAGGTCGGATGGAAAGTGTTGGGTGCAATGGCTGGCACGTAGTTAATGCTCAATAAGTAGTAGCGGCCATCGCTATTGTTGCCGTTATTATTGGCAGCATTGAAAAGTGTTGATGACTGTCCTTAAGTAAAGAAGGTTGGTTACAAAATTCGGTATACACTAGAATTACACCTATGAAAAACATCTGTGTGCACATAGACAAGAAAAGCAGGATGTGAGGTGACACGATGACTATTTTATGGATAAAAACAAACTTCTTAGCTTTCCTTAAAGCCTTAAATCTGCTCAGACCTATGGAAATCTCCCCTAAGGAACTAGAAACAAGGACAGTGAGTTATGTACAGGGATGTTCAAAGCATTATACAGGGAAAATTGGCATTATATTATGTTCCCAACAGTCCTGAAATAAATTGTGTTTAACTGGGGAGCTATCAAAAATCACATTCTCAGAGATCTTTACATGTTACAGGAAAATGTTCATGATCTAGACAAGAAAAGAAACAAGTCAGGATACAAAGCTACGTGTGTGTGTATTTATATATACACACATACATACATATACATATACAACACACAATGTGATGGTGTATTAATTTCTTATGGCTGCTCTAACAAATTACCACAAAGTTTGTGGCTTAAAACAGCACAGACTAATTTTCTTATAGTTATAGAGGGTAGAAGTCCAAAGTCAGTTTCACTGGGCTAAAGTCAAGGTGATGGCAGGGCTGGTTCCTTTTGGAGGCTCCAGGGCAGGGTCCGTTCCTTGCCTCTTCTGGCTTCTGGTGGCTTCTGGCATTCCTTGGCTGTGGCCGCATCACTCCAGGCTGTGCTTCCCTGGTCACGGCACTGCCTTCTCTTCTGCATCAGCTCTCCTTCCCCGTTACTCTTTTAAAGACACTTGTGATTACGTCAGGCCCCCAGAGACTACCCAGGATAATCTCCCCGTTTCAAGATCCTTACAGGGGTCATTCTGCTGTAAGGACACACCTGCACACGTGTAATGACGTGACCTGTCACACCTGCAAAGTCTCTTTTGCCGTAAAAGGGAACATGCACAGGTTCCAGGGACTAGGATATGGCTATCTTTGGGGGTCATAATTCAGCTCTCACAGATGTCAATTTTGTATAAAAAAGCAAAGTGCAGGCAAAAAGACTGACTTGAAAATGTTAATGTTGGTCGTCACTTCTGGATGGTGGATGGGGGGTTCATTTTTATTTTCAATATACTCTCGGGTATCTTCCTTTTTGGTGCTAAGAAGTAACTCTTTTACAACCCTCAAAACTGCCCATGGACATATATACAATTCTTTTTTTCTTAATATTCTTCTCCATTATGGTAAATCAACTATACTCCAATAAAAAAAAACAAAACCAAAAACTGCCCAAGGGTGTTCCTCTTCAAACGATGCTCGTCCCACAGCGCGGTCCCACTGTCTCCACAGAGCCCGTGTTCTGGTTCTATGTGAAGGAGGTCCTCAGCAAGCATGAGCTGCAGCGCTTCTACGCCTTGCGCCACATCGCCTCGGACGTGGGCCGCGGCCGCGCCTGGCTACGCTGCGCCCTCAACGAACACTCCCTGGAGCGCTACCTACACATGCTCCTGGCCGACCACAGCAGGCTCAGGTACCTCAGAGGGGCTCGGGGAGGGAGTGCGCCAAGGGGTGACCATCGTACTATCTGCCCGCCTGCATCTGGGGCAGCTGGGTTCCCCTCTTCCAGCCCCAGCTTGTCCAGCTGTGCTGTGGGGACAGTCGACCAGAGACTAAATGAGGATGCCTGTAAAGGGCTCCCTCCGCATGACAGCTGCATGCAGCAAGCACTCAATAGATGCTTGTTATTATTAAGGCCTGGGGTGTGGAGAGAGCTGTTGTCTTAGGACACAGCCTGCGCCCCACTTGCTGGAATTTTAATCTGGGTTTCTTTCGGATTCAGAATTTCTTTCTCTTTAGATGTTGGGTGTTCAGTGCCCAGTTCCATGTTGTGTCTCACCTTGCGTGCTGCATACTGTACAGCTCCTTTTGGTTTTTTTGGGGTTAATAAACCCCAAACTGATGGAAAGAAATAGGGAAGTTTTAAGTTGGGGAGAGAAGTCATTTGTTATTATAAAACAACATCTCATTTTATTTTGTTTTCTTTTTTCTTGATCATAAAGTTCACTCTGTCAGTTAGTATAGGCCAGGTTATGCTATCATAACAAGCATCGTATAAAACTCATTAGCTTGAGACAGCCGAGTTCATTTCTTCCCCCTGCTGCATGTCTGTCATGGGTGGGAGGTCTCATCTCAGGGACCCAGGCTGACAGAGGCTCCGTCTCTACATATGCTTTCTTGATTGCCAAGGCAGGACAAGGGGCTGTGGCTGAGCGAAGCTCTGGCTCGTAAAGCCTCTGCCCGCTGTGATGCTCACTCCCACTCATATTTCATTGGCCAGCAAGTTACATGGCCACAGGCAAGCTCAGCAGGGTGGGTGAGGTATGGTCATCCCACAGCCATGGGGAGACGGCACTGAGTGTGCATCAGCGATAGTACAGTCAGCCATATTCCCTTCAGAAACATTTGATGATGCTGTAGAACCCTCTGGGACAAAACTTAAATCACTCATAAATTGCACAGACATAACTCTGCTAACATGTTGGTATTTTTTCTGTCATTTTGCTTGTATGCTGGTGTTCGTGACCTTTTTCTCCTCTCCCTGTCTTCCTCTCCCTGTCCCTTTCTCTCTCGCCGTTATTTTCCCTCTGAGAAGGGTGGACTAGACATGTTGTTTTGTGTCACCTGGTGATGCAAAGGGACAGTGGTCAATTCTGCCCTGGACCCTTGAATAACTTCCACATCAGCCCAGATCCTCAACATTAACATGTCAGTTAATTCATTAAGCTGGCGTTTCCTTAGTGCCGTGATGCATTTCTGTGATTTCATATTGCTGTGCATTCTCTGGCTCAAGTCTCCTCTTCTGTTTCTTCTGTTGCTTGTGGTCACCTCTCTACCAGTAGTTTGTTAGGTGTTCTGGGATTGTGCACTAAGGCTGTTAAAGATACCCTTGAAGTTCTCCTATTGATGTTGCTTGTGGTACCTTGTCCGGTTGTGCGTTCAGACCCTGTGGATATGAAATGGTAGGGATGGGGGCCAGAACGACTGGCATCAGCTGTACCTGTGTGCTGCTTAGGGTCTTGAGTTGGGAGGCTGCGAATGTCTGTGTGTACATCTGAGCATTAACCAGCTTTCATTAAGGAAAACATACTCATGTTTCTTATAATAGTTTGTGTGTGTGTGTGTGTGTGTGTGTGTGTGAAGCTCTTTCCAGCAGATCATTTACAAGTGCAGTCTGCCCTCTCTATCCCCAGGTTCTGCATCTGTGGTCTCAGCCAACCGTAGCTTGAGTACCGTGTTTAAGATCTGTGGTCGGTGGAACCCGTGGGTGCAGAATCTGCAGACTTGCAGAGCCGATTGTACTACGCTCTCTTATATAAGCACCTGCAGATCTTGGTGTCCGAAGTGGGCCCTGGAGCCAATTCCGCATGGATACCAAGGGACAGCTGTAGTTCAGAGCTGTGCTCTCGCTGTCAGGGTTGAACGTAATAGTGAGCAGTTGAAATGAATCAGCTGTTAAGAATCAACGTTGAACTTACCTGAATCACTAGCCACTCTAACTTGATGTGGGAAAACCAAATTCATTTACATGCATGAAAACTGGCTCCAATTTGTAAAGAATCACAAATTTGGGAATCAGAGGTCTAGTTGCAGTGCCACCTTGAACATGTAGTCTGTGCTTCCATTGACATTTTTGCCAGGTTGAGTATGTTGAAAATGATGTGTTTCTTTTCTCTTTCTGTTAGTTGTATCCAGTCTCTTGCTGAACGCCAGGTCACCCGTCACTGACTGTGCTTCAGTGAAACTGGGTTTTGACTCCGTTTGTTTAGGGTTCTCTGACCTGGCGGGGAAGTCTGAGGGGTGAGGGTATTTGCTTGTTATTGCTTAACGGGCGATCAGATAAAGAGCTGGGGAATGAGGCTGGGAGACCTGCTTTGGAGCCCTGTCTGTACCATTTATTGCTGAATGACCTTGAACAATGGACTGACCTGTAGGCCTTTCTGTCCCCCTCCTCCCCCACTGCTGTTTAGATCTGTGGGCCTTTTTAGCTTCCCAGCCCTTTCCAGGGGTAACTTGGGCTTTTGGGCTGCAGCCCAAGCTGGTGTTATATACAAATGCCCTGGTTGATGGAGCCATGGAACTATAATTTCTTACTGAAATTGCCTCTTCTTGTATTAACCCAATCAGGGGGGCCTTGTGGGCCGGCTTGGATTTCCTCTCTGTCTCTTAGAGACATAGCTTGAGTGGAAGTCACCCCTCTGTTTGTCCCCTTCTCCTTTTCTGCTTCAGAAATACCACGTGTACATCTCATGCCTATCTCAGTACTTTCAAGCTCAGGGGACTCTAAAGATCTCAGGGGACCAGTGAGGAAGTTGTAGGATATATGCGCTCAATCCTTTGTTTATAACCAGAAGCCTCAGCCCAGCAGAGACCTCGTATATCCACTCTGGGATAACCAGGCATGGATTTTCCAGGGAACCATATGTGGGAATTGTTTGGCTGACAGATGCTGAGAACCACTGTTCAGAGTTTTTTCCCTCTGTTTTCCAATTTGCAGCACTTTTTATGAAGACTGGGCTTTTGTGATGGATGAAGAAAGGTCTAGCATGCTTCCTACCATGGCAGCTGGTAAGCCTGGCCAGGGCCAAGGGCGGGGGCTCCTGTGAAGCTTGGTGAGCAGAAGAGGCTGCCTGGGAGTGAATTTATAACTCCAAGGGATGCTCTGGTTTTCCCTCTCCTCACCGAATTAATAATGAGTCACTTGCCGCTGTCCTTCCTTTAGTGGTGACGAGCAATTGAGTCCATTTATCTAGAATTTGATGCCCTGGCTGGGAAAGCATGGGGTTGAGGGTTTTTGGCCATGGCTTTGCAAGTGTAATATAAAGATCCAGGGAACTGGAGGAGGAGACCTGCCTTTGAAGCCTAGCTCTGCCCCTGTCTGGCAGGTGGCCTGGGGCAGATCCTATGAGCTTTTTTACCTTTACTTTTCTCTTCTGTGACGTGGGAATCCTGATAGCACGGCAGTCGCCTGTATAGGGCTGTGAGAGAATGAGATGTGAGAAAGAGTCAAGTACATGATTTGTTACTATGAAAGCCCTGCATTGATGCTAGTTGATGAATTGTTAAATTGTTTAACATTTGACTGTCACTCAAAGGGTAAAGTGGGTAACTTGCTTCTTTCTTCCACATTCTTTGTTGCCTCCTTTTTCTCTCTTCCCTCAAAGTTTGCACTGAGTCCCACCTACTGAGAGTTATGTTAGGCTTGTCCGTTGATGAGGAAAAGTCAGGTGACCATGATGTCCTGTGTGGGCCATAGGAGACCAGGGCAAGTTTTTGCCTAAAGTGTTAATGGTAATGATATTGGTACACATGTTTTGATTGCTTACTGAGCTGTTTTCGATGGGTGATGGTCTTTAATACTCTGTAAGGGATGCTGCTGTCCCCCTATTATAGATAAGGAAACTGAAGCTCAGAGGTCATGAATGGCTTGACCCAAGGTCTCAGAGCATGTAAGTGGCAGTGCTAGGATTCAACCCAGGCAGTCCAACCTCAGAACTTACTCCTTAACCTCCCCACGGTTGACTTCTTATTTGCATTTGTCTTCCTGACGGATAGGGAGAGAATTTGGAAAGACTCAACTCCAGTGATAGCGGGTATCTCCTGACCGCAGTTTTGTGGGTGGTCTTTATCACCATTTGAGACGAGTGTGTACCCTCTTGTGTACTATAACCTCTGCAGCTTGTTTATTGTGTTGGAGTGTGACTGTTGAACAGCAGACACACCAGGCTTTTCCGTTTTTGGGGGCAGGTCTGAACTCCATACTCTTCGCGATTAACATCGACAACAAGGATTTAAACGGGCAGAGTAAGTTTGCTCCCACCGTCTCGGACCTCTTGAAGGAATCCACGCAGAATGTGACCTCCTTGCTGAAGGAATCCACGCAAGGAGTGAGCAGCCTTTTCAGGGAGATCACGGCATCCTCGGCCGTCTCCATCCTCATCAGGCCTGAGCAGGAGACCGACCATCTGCCCGTCGTGTCCAAGCACATCAGTGCCGGTGAGCGAGAACGAGGGGAGGACAGAGGGTCGGGTGAGGATGACAGATTGTGTCATCTGAAAGCGCCAAGGGGAGTGAAATCTGATGCACTCATGTTTTCAGTTCATGTTTGTGTTTATCTTTTTAATTTTTTTTTTGGCTGCACTGTGTGGCATGCGGGGTCTTAGTTCCCTAACCAGGGATTGAACCTGTGCCCCCTGCAGTGAAAGCACGGAGTCCTAACCACTGGACTGCCAGGGAAGTCCCCATGTGTTTACCTTTCTTACCCTTATTCACTTGGAAAGGGATCTGAGAGCCTTCCTGAGATGTGAAGATGATAGGGTAACCAAGCCAACAGCTCAGTCAGAGCAAACTGAAAGGGAGGGTGTGGTGGTCACGTGAAGCCAGGGGAAGTTGATCTTCATTCCTTTATCCATTCATTTCTTTAATTATCCTTCTGATAAGTGGGGTGAAAGCCCAGCTCAGGGTGCTATGGAGAATGTATACCGTTGCGGGGATGACATTTAAGTGGAGGCCGGGGGAAGGGAGGAGTTGGTCAGCTTTGACTCTAGGCTGTGAGGAGGCAAAGGAAAGTTGATTGAGTTCTGATCAATTTTGTGAGAAGTTTACAATACCCCTTGAACTTTCTGGGACATCCAGAATATTGCAACAGCAAAATTGGAAATTTTGGGTATAAGAGCTTAATCCTGGTATTCTCAAATCCCTTAAACAAAGCAGTAATCATGGTCATCCCTTTGGAATTATTAATGATGGTGAAGACTCAGAGTTCCATGGAGTCTGAGGTGCACACTGGCTTTATCTGTCTTGCCCTCTCTTTCTCGAGCAGAGACCCCAGGCAAATGACATAGAAACAGGACTGTTGATAACTTTGTGTACCAGAGATGCTGGAATTTGCATACCCAAAGGAGTATCTTGGGACTTCCCTGGCAGTCCAGTAGTTAAGACTCCATGCTTCCACTGCAGGGGGTGCGGGTTTGATCCCTGGTCGGGGAACTAGGATCCAGCATGCCATGCAGCATGGACAAAACAAACAAACAAACAGACAAACAAAAACTGGCCAAAGGAGTGTCTTTTCTGTCCATTTTGGGAACCTGCTTTTGACACTGTCTCAGAATTGGGACACACTGGTGAAGCATCACCACGTCACACCTTGGTTTAGATGGATTTTACTTTTTGGAATCGGCTCCAAAGTGCCTCACACCCAAGGTTGATGATTAAGATGGGTGAACAAACCGGCTCGTCTAAGTGCTGGTCACCAAGGCAGTCTTGACTTCTGTTTCAGTTAGCCTTTGCTGTGTAACAAATGCTCCAAAATGTAGTGGCTTAAAACAAACAACCACAACTTATTATTTTTTTTATGATTCTGTGGGTTGGCAGGATGGTTCTTCTGGTGGTTTCACCTGGGCTCCCTCATAGGGGTTCATTCAGCTGGTGACTGAGCTGGAAGATTCAAGATGGCCCCACTCATGCACCTGGAGTTGGTGCTGACTCTTGGCTGGGGCATCTCAGTTTCCCCCCACATGGTCTCCCATCCTCCAGTAAGCTAGACTGGCTTCTTTCATGGTCATTTCAGGGCAGTATTCCATGAGGGTAATGCCTAGGCTCTAGAACTCACACACTGTTATTTCTGCCACATTCTGTTCTTAAAAGCAGAGCACTAAGTCAGCCTGGATTCCAGGGAGTGGAGAAATAGATAGCACCCTTGATGGGGGCCAGCAAAGCCCCACTGTAAAGGGGCATTGTGCTGGGCTGGGAGGAATTGTGGCTGTTAAACAGTCGACTACAATCCCTAAACTGATTTTCTTGGTCTTCATGGCTTGGTCCCAGCCATGAGAATATCTTCCAAAGATACTTCCATTTGATACTTCCATTTCAATAATGATTCACCCTTTTAATCAAAGTGCTTGGAAGGATTGCTTAGAAGGAATGATTGTAATATATACTCTAGGGCGTATATGTTCACATCAGAGGTAGAGGCGCACATCCATTTTGCTTGGTCTCCCGTAGACAAATTTTTTTTCCAAGGGTTAAAAGAAATCTGAGTTTATCTCAGATTTAGTTTTTAGTAGAATAGTAGAGATTTTCCACAGTCTAGAAGCAGGATGGCTCCATCATCGCTTTATCTTGCCTGCTTTTTCTTATCTCATATCTTTTGCCAGATGCCAAGTGTAAAAGGGAGAGGAAGAAGAAAAAGAAGGTGACTAACATCATCTCGTTTGATGACGAGGAAGATGAGCAGAGCTCCGGGGATGTTTTTAAGAAGATCCCTGGGGCGGGGGAAAGCTCAGAGGAGAACTCCGACCGCTCCTCAGTCAATATCATGACGGCCTTTGAAAGCCCCTTTGGGCCAAATTCCAACGGAAGTCAGAGCAGCAACTCATGGAAAATCGATTCTCTGTCTTTGAACGGGGAGTTTGGGTACCAGAAGCTCGATGTGAAAAGCATCGATGATGAAGATGTGGATGAGAATGAGGACGACGTTTACGGGAGCACACCTGGAAAGAAGTCCCCGGGCCACTCGGAGTCGCCGGAGAAGTAAGTTCTGCTTGAGCTTCTGAGGAAGGGTGGCTGGCTCTTTCTGTAGTATTGGGTGAAATTAGACTGCAAGTTTTCTGTTTGTTTGGGGCATCATTCATTTTTCAGATCTCGATTTCAGAAGAAGGAGCATGAGTTTGCTCCACTCCTGAGAACTAAGGAGAAGGGAGCATATATACTATTTGAAGGTACTTACTGCAAAGTTGGTGTCAAGATGTAGGCCTTGAAATTCTTGCTTTATGTCTGTGTCTTTCATTTTTGTTGCTTGGGTTTTGCTTGCATCCCTTACTTGCCACTAGCCCAGGACGCTCAGGAGAGAGGCAGGGTATTCTAGACAATAGTCTCCAGCTGGTAATTTCTGTGTTTATTTGCAGGGGTGTGAACGGCAGTAACTGGCCTGCACTCGCCACCTTAACACTGGAGCTGCGGTGCATCTATACCTGCAGGAGGGGCTTGGTGCAAGTGAAGGCGTAAAACAGAAAAGCATAGTTAGGAGCTTGGATCTTAGAATCAAGACAACCTGGGTTCTCATTTACTAGCTGCGTGGCTTAGGTTAGACTAGGTTGGACGAGTTTCTTCACCTCCCAGAGCTTCAGGCCTCGCGTGAGACCTAGAGAAAAACAGCATCTGCTTTGTAGAGTTGTTGTCCAGTTAATGGGACCCTGCGTGTTGGGCCTTGGCCACAGGCGCTGGCACTTCAAGAAAGAATGCAGGCAGCTGTGGCCGCTGTCATACTGTAATTCGTAATAATTCCTGTGCTTGGTCTTACTCTTAATGCCGAATAAACTAGGGACCTCTTCACCTGAGCTCTGTAGTGTGCAGTGCAACCCTAGTCACGGCTGGCTTCAAAACCAGCCCGTGAAAGTGTAAAATGAAGACCCCGAGACCCCCTGGTGCAGTGGAGGGGCACGGTGTGCCTCTAGCCCAAAGCTTTGCATGTCCATGTGTTGAACTGGAGTTTTTTTTCTTTCTCATGAGACTTTCCCTGTTTTTGTCTTTGATTTTTACTCTCATCCTCATTCACATGCATATCCATGTTAGTAGCATTACCTTGTCGATCATCTGGGACAGGTCAGATGAGGCAAACTGCAGATTCACGGTATCCTAATACTTAGAGCTGCCCTGGGGGGTTTGTGGGTGTCAACCCCACCTGATGGATGAAAGGCCAGTTTCTTTAGTTAAGATTTGTCAAACCAGTGGGAAGAACTGGAATTAAGGTTAGGTTGTGCTGTGTTCCAAAGCTTATAGTACTGTCAGGTATTTTCCATGTTTCTACACAGCCATGAATCTCAATTGGTTGATATTCGGTCAGATCAATGTCATGATTTGCTAACGGTTCCCCTGTTGTTGAGTATTTAGGTTGTTGGCATTGTTTTTGTTTTTTGTTATCAGCCATTCTGAAATGAACATTTTCGTGCACAAGGCTTTTTTCTCCTACTAAAGTATGTTAGGGTAGCTTCCCTCCAGCATTGTTCTTGCGTACTGTGTACAGATGATTTTGTACCTGCATCCAGTCTTGTGACCTGCTATATTAGGGTTCTCCAGAAAAACAGAACCAATAGTGTGTGTGTGTGTGTGTGTGTGTTTCTCGTATGTATGTATTTATCTAGAGAGATTTATCTTAAGGAATTGGCTCATGTGATTGTGGAACTTGACAAGTCCAAAATCTGCAAGGTAGGCTGGCAGGCTGGAGACCCAGGGAAGAATTGCAATTTGAGTCTGAAGACAGTGTGCTGGCAGAATTTCTTCTTCCTTGGGGGAACCTCAGTCTTTTTCTGTTAAGGCCTTCAACTGATTGGATGAGGCCCACCCAAATTATGGAGGGTGATCTGCTTTATTCGAAGTCTCCTGTCTTAAATTTTAATCTCATCAAGACAAATACCTGCACAGAAACATCAAGAATAATGTTTGATCAAATATCTGGGTACCACGGCCTAGCCAAGTTGACACATAAAGTTAACCATCACACTTGCCTACAGTTCTTCCTCTGGGCCTTTTAGGAAATGCCATTTGCATTCTCTGTCTCTGTAGGTGAGTGCACCTCTGAGTTGATTCACTCCACGAATCAGTTTTTTGGCCTCAAACACAGTCATTTCTCTTCCTACTGGACTGGTGACATTGAGGGGAGGCTGGAGCTGGGAGGCCAGCTTGCGAGCCAGGATAGCTGCCAGCATTGTGATGTGTGAAACACAAAACAGTGCAGGGTGACCTTTACAGGGCCTGGGCCCTTTGAGGCCATTGGGCCCCCTATGGATTATGGACAGCCACTCCCTGGCATAAAGAGGGGATCTTGAGTGAGCATTCTGCAGAGCCTCTTGGGGAAACAGAGAGAAATGATGAGATGGCCTACTGAGTAATACTTTCATTTTGCTTCTAAGCTAATATTCACGTGAAAGGTCTAGGATCCTGGAGGGGCCAGAACTTTAAAAGTTTAATAGCACAGCCAGGTTTGTGGGAGGAAAGGGGCCAGGCTGGGAGAAGCACATGGTGGGTTGCAGTGGCCTTTGGCAAAGTCGAATGCTCTGATGGTCTTTTAGATGCTCTGTTGGCCAAAGGTTTACACCTCTACTTGCTGGCAGTTAAACCCCTTCTTTGATGACTGAGGAAAAATGTCTGATGACTGAGGAAAAATCTTGTCCCTCCTACCTCAGTATTTTATTTTATTTTATTTTATTTAACATTGCTTTACAATGGTGTGTTAGTTTCTGCTTTATAACAAAGTGAATCAGCTATACATATACATATATCCCCATATCTCCTCCCTCTTGCGTCTCCCTCCCACCCTCCCTACCCACCCCTCTAGGTGGTCACAAAGCACCAAGTTGATCTCCCTGTGCTATGTGGCTGCTTCCCACTAGCTATCTCTTTCACATTTGGTAGTGTATATATGTCCATGCCACTCTCTCACTTCGTCCCAGGTTACCCTTCCCCCTCTCTGTGTCCTCAAGTCCATTCTCTACGTCTGCGTCTTTATTCCTGTCCTGCCTCTAGGTTCTTCAGAACGAATTTTTTTTTCTTTGATTCCATGTATATGTGTTAGCATATGGTATTTGTTTTTCTCTTTCTGACTTACTTCACTCTGTATGACAGACTCTAGGTCCATCCACCTCACTACAAATAACTCAATTTCATTTCTTTTTATGGCTGAGTAATATTCCATGGTATATATGTACCACATCTTTATCCATTCCTGTTGATGGACACTTAGGTTGCTTCCATGTCCTGGCTATTGTAAACAGAGCTGCAGCGAACATTGTGGTACATGACTCTTTCTGAATTATGGTTTTCTCAGGGTATATGCCCAGTAGTGGGATTGCTGGGTCGTATGGTAGTTCTGTTTTTAGTTTTTTAACTACCTCAGTATTTATAAGTGTTGACCTTGCTTTTGTTTTTTTCTTAAAGTATTTATTTATTTATTTATTGGCCACACCAGGTGGCATGCGGGTTCTTAGTTCCCCAACCAGGGATCGAACCCGCGCCCCCTGCAGTGGAAGCACAGAGTCTTAACCACTGGACCGCCAGGGAAGTCCCTGTTTTTTCTTAAAAGAGGATATAATATCTTTATTATAGAAAGGGGTTTTCCTGTCACTTTATGTGTGCTCCATGACATCAACAGGGAAGTGGGGTGAAAATATAGTTCAACAAGAATTACAAACACGAAAAACTTTGCACTTCACCAGCAATTAAGCAAACACAAAGTGAAACCAAACACTGTGTTTTGCCCATCATCTTCGTCAAGATTTAAAAAGAGAACTGGGTGGGCTTCCCTGGTGGCGCAGTGGTTGAGAGTCTGCCCGCCGATGCAGGGGACACGGGTTCGTGCCCCGGTCTGGGAAGATCCCACATGCCGCGGAGCGGCTAGGCCCGTGACCCATGGCCGCTGAGCCTGCGTGTCCGGAGCCTGTGCTCCGCAACAGGAGAGGCCAAAAAAGTGAGAGGCCCCCAAAAAAAAAAAAAAAAAAAAAAAAAAGAACTGGGTGAAAGGCAGCCTTGGGTGAGCGCCCTGCCTGGAAGGCTTGCTCTCAATGTGTCCTCAATGGTTGGAATCTTCCAGACACATAGCAGACGTTAACTGTGGAATAATGATGAGGTATGGCTGGTGCTAGGGTCATCCTGATAGAGCGCTGGTCATGTCCACAGCCCTTGGGGAAAACAGTTTGACACAATGTCAGGAGCCTTAAAAATGTTTATCCCCCTTGATTTAGTAATTCCACTGCTGGGAAGCTACCCTGAGGACCAGCCTCAGGAAAAAGCTTGCTGCATCTAGATACCAACATGCTAACTTAGAAAAGCTAAGCAATGAACCTGACGAAAATGTGCAACCACAGAGGAACAGTTAACCGTGGAATATTTTGTAGTCTAAATCTTAATGTTCCAGATCTTAAACATCTTAAATGACATCTAAGAGTATCTAAGTAGTATGAAGATGAAATTATGAATTAATATCGAATGAAAAAAGCAAAATATAAAAACCTACATCTAGCTTCATTACAACCTCGTAAAGGAAAGCACATGAGGAAAGAAAGAAAAAAAAGACACTATGGAAATCGTGTCTACCTCAGTTGTTTTGGGTAGTGGGGCTTTGGGTGTATTTTTCCCCCTCCTCTTTATGACATTTTGTAGGTTTTAAAATAAGTGTCTTACTTTTCTAATGAAAAGCAACACCAGTTCTGTTTCTAAGCCCAACTCTGACCCCGTATTCTGAATTGGTCTCTGCTTTAGGAATCACTTCAGTGTAACTCCTTTTCTAGGTGGAGGCCTTTGGCCACTTTTACTCGGGTCCGAACCTTAGTTGGTGGGGCCTGACTTCACTTTGTGCTCTGCATGTGTTGCTGGAAAGTGGCAAGATGTCTCCTTAGAAACAACAGAAAATCCCTCCTGCCTGGAGCTGGTGCAGCGGCTGGGAAAGGCCTGTGGTTTTGCTGCCGTGTCCTGAGGGGTGCCCCTGGCCACCTCTGGGTGTCTGGGAGTCCCCTTGGTTGCCAGCTGCTGGATCAGAGCCCCGGGCGGGCGGTTCTTTACAGATTGTAGAGGCAGAGCCAAGTTCACCCCAGAACCTGGCTCTGCGGCTGGGCACACAGGTCGGGGGCGCTTCCTCTTCTGTGCCGCGTCCTGTGCGTTACCTGCAAGACTAAATGACACAGGTGGCAAAAGTCTGTTAGGGTTATTACTTGATATGTGTCCTGCTCCGTGTCAAACGTGTGACCAAAAGCTCGAGAGTGCTCAAAG